AATAAATCACGGTGGAGCCACCCTCTTTCTCGCGTTTTGGATCTATCCTCCCCGTCATGGCCCTCTAAGGCCTAATGGAACTACAACGGGCTTACATACGCGATCGTCCATAGTCCAACAAGCAAAGTTTTGCAACGGGCTTACATACGCGATCGTCCGCAGAACTATCATATACTCTAACAATCTCAAACAATTTATTTTAAATCTTTAACATTCTTTCTATACCTAGCACCATACAATTTTTCAGACAGTTTCCACACATTAAACAATATTACAAACTACCACATAGCAACCAGCAAACATCAAGCATCCCTAGATTTAGCATATATAACCAACAACATCACATTCCATTCCTAGACTAACATGTAAGAACATCTACTGTTAACTAGTATTAAAGTAATCTAGACAACACCCTCACCTTAGTCTTTATGGATAGATTGACATGGAAGAATGGACATGGAAGAATGAGCTACTGCGAATCTGCGATTAGGAAACCATGTGTAACATTCCATTATTAAAAGTCCTAAAATATTTATTCGGTTCGGCCAAATTATACCAGTCAGACGAAAACAACGATAACTTCTTACACCAACCTCATATCAAGACAAACTCGGTGCCTCTGGAAAGCCAAGACTCGGAGCTTTCCAATGATATCCAGCTCATCTTCTGGGTTCTTACAGAACGACGATAAATCAGCTTGGAACTCCTCTGATCGGATTTAAGAATAGAAATTCCAGTTTCAGAAACAGTGATTTTCTCAATATTGAAACACGATTTGCGAGCAAACCATACCTCGTAACTCAAATCCAAAAAAAGTTACAGAACCTAGAATCCGTGATCTTTCTAACGAAACCAAGATCAACATATAGTTCTTTAGGACTTGGGGGCGGAAATCACCTGCGAAGTCGACTGGTCGCATGTTCATTCTGCACAGATCAGTCCCATAAAAACACCAATAACTTTCAGATCATAATTCCGAATGACAAACGGTTTTTGGCTATAGAAAGGTCTGTAACTCGATGACTTACCCAGAAAGTTTCATTTAGTTTCGATATGTTTTGCCCATCCGTTCCTCTCTTTCCATAAAATGGGACATATCCACCTCCTTCCATGACA